CAGAACGAGAGGCTGCGGTGTGAGATGAGAATTCAATAACCTTGGCGTAACGTATTCACTAAGTCAGTCCCTTACATGGGTAACTAATGAGTTCCCGGAAATGTGTTCAAAAGGCAAATGTATAAGGAAAGAAAACCCATAAATGTTATAAATGGTTCTCATTACTACAACAAAGAAACGATTACAAAATTCCTCATTACGGTTTCTGCCAGCTCTGGCTCCTTCAGGCTTGAGCCAACTGGGGAGCAAGTAAGAGTTATAGCCTCCTTGCCCCCACCCTTGAACCCCAAGCAGGAAGACAGACAGTGGCTGGCATCAAGCCACCCCTGACCCAGGCACCTAGAGAGATTAAACCTGGCTTCCAGGGTCAGGCCAGGCTGTCTAGTTGGAACAGGGGAGGGGACAGGGATTGAAGCTGTCATTAAGGGGTAGAGGCTGTCTGCCAGAACCATCATGAACTACCCCACCACCCACTGGGTGGAGCACGGTCTAGACTCTGGGACGTGACCCCCCCCAGCCTCCTTCCAGATGCCATCTGTGGGGCAGCAGAGGTTGAAGAACACTGTCATTCGGTCTGGAGCACTGGGTATTGGGGCCATAAGCCACCAGCACTACTCAGGCTCCCCTAGGAGCCTGACCTGTTGGTGAGCAGCTGACACCAGCACGCATTACTCAGCAGGTCGTGTCCTCTCTCAGCAGACGATGACCCAGGTGGAATTTGGTGTATGAAAGGTAGCTGGGGTATGGGGGTGGGTATTCACATAGAGTATACAACTGTGCAGTCTGTTCACAACTAAGATACTGCATTCGCAAGTTGAGGTCCTCTGGATTTGCCAGTGAAATTTGGATATGAGGGTTGTCCTAACTAGATATGTAACTAAGGAGAACTGTGTTCTCAATCTGGGATTGGGGGATGAATTTGCTTTATTTTATTTTTATATATGTCTGATAGATCAAGCTTGTTATTTATGTTTTTCAAACTCCCTATATCCTTACTATTTTTGTCTTCTGAACCCAACAGTAATGTAGAGAGATTCTGTTGAAATCTCCTGCTATAGTAGTTTTGGTTCTTAAACTGGCCCCTGTACACAGAGGGCAAGGACAGACTTAAGAGGTAGACCACTCCAGATTGGTAGGTGGCAGGTTTAATAAGCAAGGGAACTTACACATGAGGCTTGTCTTGGGCAGCTAAAAGGTGAGTGGAACTCTGCACCTACCAATCTTAAAAGTTTATATAGAGGCCTTAACTGGGTTCAGTCACGTACACAGTCCAGATGCTCTCAGCAACACCTTTCTCTCTCAAGGCTATGTCCTTGAACATGGCTTGCACTGTGGGAAGGGTGGGTAGAGCAAATATTCCAAGGACGGGGGTGTGGTGGGGGGTTAAGGACCTCTGATTGCCCAGGTCCAGCTCTCGAGTCTACCAGTGGTCACGTCCTCTTGATGACCTCCTCCAACAAGTAGTGGATTTGTCAACGTTTCCTTGCATTTCCACCATTTTTTGCATTTTATATTTTGATGTAATTTTAATAGAGTTGTTCCATAGCTTTGCTGCAACAAAACAGTTATAATACTTCAGGATATACTGTCTTATAACCTTACTCTTGAAATCCGTGAGTAGAGACAAGTATCCGTTTTAGTCATTGTATTTTTTTTATTGGTAATACATTTATTTTTTGGTCTTGTTAGAGAATTATACCATAAGTGATTTGCTATTCATCTATTAAAAATACAGAAGGGGGGCTTCCCTGGTGGTGCAGTGGTTGAGAGTCCGCCTGCCAATGCAGGGGACGCGGGTTCGTGCCCCGGTCCGGGAAGATCCCACATGCCGCAGAGCGGCTGGGCCCGTGAGCCATGGCCGCTGAGCCTGCGCATACGGAGCCTGTGCTCCGCAACGGGAGAGGCCATAACAGTGAGAGGCCCGCGTACTGCAAAAAAAAAAAAAAAAAATTGAAAAAACTATATTTCAATTGCTGAGCATCAAAGCTGACCTTGTGCTCAATGAAAAAATGCAGAGTAGAAGTTATTTTGTCTCAATATGCTTAACTTTATGTTTATTCGTTCATGAGCTATATGTATACATTGTGATAAAAAAATACAAGGCTAAAAATACTAAATATTTATTGAATGAAAGTTGAATGAGTAAAGTCAATTCTGTGTTCTTGTTTTTTATAAGAGGTGACTCAGATTGCAGTTTGGCCAACATATTCATTCATTTAACACATGTGTTTTTGTTTTTGACCTTTTGATCCCTTTCACCCATTTCTTTAAACTTTGCTTTAAATTTAGGTTCAAGAACCTCACATCTTCTGCAGGTCGTTTAAGAAAGCACCTAGAGTTCCTTTCCCCCTCCTTTTCTACTCTCCAGCCTGCTGTATCTACATCAGATGGTCTAACGTGCTCTACTTGGAAGTGCTTAACTGCATGGGCTAAAGAGCACGGACTCTGAGTCAGCTTGCCTGGGTAAACATTAAAATGTTAACTGTGATTCCCTTCATTAGAGCCACCATTTCATCCCCTCCTCAGAATTTCTGAAAAATCACCTGTTCCTTGAAAGTTGCATGTATGCCCCCTCTCTCACTTCCTTTATTGAATTTGTTTTTGAAAGTTCACTTCCTGCATGAATGCTTCCCTGCCTGAGGGAGAGGTAGTGAACTTGCCTTTTTTATCTAAACCTGTACCTCCCATCCCCCAACCCATCCAAAGCCACAGGGTGACTAACTAGTTGGGGGGGCGGGGGGGGGGAGGCACCAACGGATTGCTTAGAGGCAGGTATTTTATTTTCTGTCTTAACAAAATATTGTGGTTTTTTTTGCACAAATACAATAAAAACAAAACTATGGCTTCGATCTCACAATTTACAGGATTTGACCTCCTTTTGAAATTTTTTTCATATTTCTTAGATATAAAATCTTTTCCCTCTGAGAAACAGGCAAGAAAGAGGATGTCCCTCCTCATTCTTCCCCCACTCTTGCTTATGGTCCTTTTATTCTTTGTTCTCTCCTTTTTCCTGTTGCTCCCTCTTAATTTGATTTGCACATTTTATTGGCCAATAGTGACTCAAGAGTGGAGACAGCGAGAAAAAATAGAGGGGAAAGAAAAAGCTCTTTGCTATGGTGTCATTTTACAAGAATCAACACCCATTGACTTAATAAGCACCACTGGGCTTCCCTGGTGGCGCAGTGGTTGAGAGTCCACCTGCCCGTGCAGGGGACACGGGTTCGTGCCCCGGTCCGGGAAGATCCCACATGCCGCGGAGCGGCTGGGCCCGTGAGCCCTGGCCACTAAGCCTGCGCGTCCGGAGCCTGCGCTCCGCAACGGGAGAGGCCGCAACAGTGAGAGGCCCGCATACCGCAAAAAAAAAAAAAAAGTACCACTTCATTAATTCTTTTATGAATTCATTCATTCAACAAATATACTGTTATGCGCCTGGCACTACACTAGGCACTTTTTCTCGTTCTACAAAAGCAAGTTGTGGGTCTAAGCTTTACGTTTTGTTCTTCTGCTATAGAAACTTAAGAAAATAACACTAGAATTGATATCTTCTTTTCTCCCACTTTGCAAGACATGTGACTTTGTGTATTTTTGTTAGTTTCTTCTCTTCTCACTGAAGTGTAGGAAAAAGAGCCAAGGTTTAGAATTCAAGCAAAACTGGGTTCAAATCCCAGCTATCTGTGTGAAAAGAGACATTTACACAGTTTTGAGATTTCATCTGTTAATGGAGGGTAACTACAACTAGAACAAAGAGATGTAGAGATTCAGAGAGATTCAAAAGTATGTAATTTTTTATACTCTAAGTGCCTTATACAAGGAGACTTCCTTTCATTATGCTATTGTTTGTCTTAGTTTATAAGCCCTTTGGGGATAGTTTATAAACCCATTAATCTGAATTGCAGTAGTATTAATAATCGATAGAAAAAGTAAACACATAATGCTAGCCGAACAAGCAAATGTGTAACCTGAACACATTTAAGTAAAGCCATTTATTGATTTTGCAGCAGGGTACTTCACAGGCAGGCCGTGTAGTTTCTAGGGCAATCCATTTGCTGCTGTACTTAGCTGGGGAAATTCTGCAATGAAAATTCAGAAATACAGGTATTTCTGAGGCACTTCGTTCCCTCATGGGGGGAATTTCTTCTTTTCTTGCTCAAAAAATAAAGTTATAGTGATATATTTACACATCAACATTTGTGAGGTGGAACTGTGGAAAAACGGGTAGTTGCAATGTGACAGAATTGGGTTGTGTGTGACCATGGGCCACGAGCAAGTTACATGGCTTCCCTACGCCTGAGATTTTTGAGCTGTAAAATTGGCGTAACGTTTGTGCATGAATTATGTGTACTTAAAACATCTGTCACATAATTGACAATCAGTGTCATTTCCTCCCCTCTCAGGTCCACCTGACCGGTTACAGGGAAATCATCCCGATAAACAACACCTGTTGAGTGTGCCAGGCCCCATTCCAGACGTTTCTCGCCGTTCGCCTCATTTAATTCTCGCAACAACCTGACGGAGAGCATTTGACACATAAAGCTAATGAGGCTTCAGCAGCAGGCCCCCTTACTTACACGAGTCCCCCCCGAAGTCCTGCATCTAATTTCCTATCTTCCCTTGAAGAACACCCCTCCCCCCATTGTTTACGTTTCAGGCCCCACAAAATCTCAATTCGTCCCGGGTGGGTACTATTCTTTTCCTAATTTTGCAAAGACGGGTGAAATAAATTGCGTAATATAACACACTTGTTAAGCAGTGGAGCAAGATTTGAACCGAAGCAGCCTGACCCCAGAGCCCGAACTCTTGGCTACTGGAGGTGATGCCAACGGTGTCGCTGGGAGAGAGGCAGAGCGGCCAACGCCGGGGCGGAAAACCAGCGCACAAGTCCCCCGGAGCAGCTACGGCGGGCAGGCTGGGGTCGGAGGGGATCACCCCGCCGAGGCTCCCCGCCCCTTCCTCCCCTTCCCCTTCTCCTTTTCCGCGCCGCCGAGCCGGAGCCGGAGCCGCGCCGCTCGCCCCGCGGCCGCCCGGCCCGGCCCGTTTCCCTCCGACTGCCGGCGCCAGGCCGCGGGGTCCGGCTCTGGAACTTTGCAGGGAAGAGAAACTTGGCGCCGAGTCGGGAGGACGAGAAAGTGAGGCGCGCGGCGGGGCGGGGCGGCCGCCGGAGCCGGGCGCGGGGGGCGGGGCGCTCAGGTGGGCGCGAGGGGCCGGGTGGGCGCGCAGGCGGCCGCGGGGCGGCAGGTGCCCCGCGCGCGGCGGCCGCGGGGTGCAGGCCGCCCGGCTAGGCCGCTCGGGTGTGCTGCGGGGCGTCCGGGCCGCGGGCGGCCGCCTTTGTGCGGCTCGGGGCGTGCTTCCCCTTTCTCTCCAGCCCGCGGCTGCTCGCTCCTGCGCGGGGCGGGGCGGGTGACGGTGACGAGGGAGCGGAGGCGCTGCCACCTCCCGCTCGCCCCGCCGTCTCCCGCGGGGGGCGTGTTTTGCTTGATCCAAGTTCAGGGCGCACAGAGGCTGAGGGGGCGGAGGGGGCTGGAGGTCTGCGTTACCAAAGGGTAATCATTTCTGAACCACCCCAAACGTGAGAATCTCAAGTTCAAGCGTAGCTCGTCCCCAGAGAGACTGAGTTGATGGGAAGAAAATGACAGAGTGGAGGCGAGGGAAGTCCCCATAGACTTCGGGAGAAAAGGGACCGGGGGCCGTGGCACCCTGGACACCCTAGGCGACGCACAGCAGAATGACGGGGGCAGGGTGTCCTTGTTGGGTGAAGGTAGTCGGGGTAGCGTTTGCAGGTGCGCAGCTGTGTTGTTTTGGTATCAGCGAAGGCGCCCGTGCGTGTGTGTGTGTGTGTGTTGGTGGGGGAGGGTTGTCGAGGGAAAACGACCCCCGGTACTAGTTTCATTTACCAAGTGTGAGGAGGTCCACAGGAGCCCCTTGTTCTATTGAGAAAAATGAGTCAAGTGACATACTATTGCAGCTACCTCAATATCGTAGTCTTGAGCATCTTTGAAAGAAAGAAGAAATGACTCCGAAGTGTTCATGGAGTACATAATGACACACAAGATTTGTGTTGTCTGGTGCGGGGCTGCCTAACCTGAGGCACCTCTCGTAAGCACCTGGAGAGTTTTTCAAATTAGCCTTATTGGGGCCACCCCAAAGGTCCTGAATCACAGGTGGTGGGGCTGAAACCCTGACCTGGGCATTTTTGTAAAAGTTTCCCTGGGGATTTTGCTGGGGGTTGCCTGGTTAGGAAGCAGGAGGTAGGAGAACTTGGATTCTACTGCGTGGCATTGAGCAAATTTTAAGCACAGTGTTTCCTCATCTGTAAAGTGGCCCCTAAGAATTTGTTCTCAAGATAAGATAGTATGGGATGTGTGGTAGTGTGCTGAAAAGGGAGAAATCGGAATAATAATAAAAAATTCTGGTGCAGTAGCAACAAAGGATGTATGCATTTGTTCTGCAAGTGATGTGTAGACTAAGGGGAGGGGAGAGGAAGAATCGCCATGCCTGGAAAGGAAAGCAGGGGGGTTGTTTTCAGGTGATCAGATATGTGACAGTGTTGGTGTAAACTGTAACTCAGAAAATCAGTCTTGTCCAGATGAAAAGCGGGCAAGCTCCAGCCTGCCCTATCTGCGGATGGCGGTTCGAAAAATGCACCGTGTATATTTCCTCTTCCCCCAAACCAAAGGCTTTATATTATTTTCATTTAGGCACATCAAGAGCCAGTAATCACCAATGTGTCCTGCCTTGTGATAATCCCAGTCTGTCTGAGGTTGCATGTTTTTCTACTGCATGTGAGTTTTTGTTCCATTATTCAACAAATTTGTGCCGAGGACCTTGATGTAAGCATGCTCAAAATACAAAGATAAGGAAAATGCTGGTTTTTGCCCTAGCCATGTCTGTCTAGTGGAGGCGACTGACGTGAAGATGCCAGTCAGAACCCGGTTATGATGATAATACAGGTAGAGGATGAACAAAGTGCCGTGTGGCCCAGAGGAAAGAGAAACTCCATCAGCTTTGGGGGAAGGGCATCAATCAGAGGCAGCACTGGAATGGGAAAATAACGCCCTTCTGCAAAAGCTCTGAGAATTTAGGATTTTGTGTGTAGTCAAATCTGTGTTCTTATTTTTCAATCTGATGACATTCTCGTGTACTTATATGCTGACAGTCTAAAGTAGAAATGACTTTGGTTTCATGATGACTCTTTTAAAAATTTACTAGACTTTCTGTCATTTTACCTTTGTAAAAGTCTCAGCTCTGTCTAAAGTTAATCCAAGAAAGGTTGTTAAGCAAACAGAAAGAAAAAATGTAAATGTGTCCTACATTCTTTTTTTTCCTACATTCTTCCTAAATATTTAGTTCCACTTAATAATATTTAGGTAAATTCTTTTAATTACATGCACTTTTAAAGGTTATACTTTTTTGGGGTGGTTCTCATAGTGTTAATTAGGAAAGCTTAAAATGATTTAATAGAGGAGAGGGACATAAAAGGAAAACTGTAAGAGGAATACAAAGGGAATAACTAGAAGAAAGAGTTCAGGAGGAGAAAGGAGTTTGACAAAATTGGTGGAAGAAAAAAAATTGGTGGAAGAAAGGGGCAGAAGTAAGCACTTACTGGGAAAAGAGTCAAAAAGAAATGGGTGAATCAAATATGGCTGCCAGCTTCTTTGCGGATCTGTTGTCTTACATTTTGATTGAACATGTTTATAGACTCTTAGTTTTCAATGTTATTTCAAAAACAGAGAGAGGCAGTATAATGTGGTACTTAAAGCATAGGCTAAAGAGCCCCGGGTTTGAATAATTTACTAGTGACCTTGGGCAAGGGCCTTAACTAGCTGTGTCTGCTCATTTGTAAAATGAAGATGTTAATGTGAGCTACAGGAGGCTTGTGAGGATTAACAGCTATGATGCTGTAAATCTGGACACCTGGCTGTGATAAAGCCTCAATCAGGAGTGGCCTCTGCTCTTGTTTTTCTTCTCTAACCTAACTGGATCCCAGTGGAAGCACTGGTAAACTGGGCAGATAGCATTGTTCTTCTTTCCAGCTGAAGAAACTGGAATTGGGAGAGGCTGACTTGCTAAACTTTAGCAGCTAAAGTCATATAAGCTAATGGGTAGATGAACTGAAGTGAGAAGCTTTGTCTTCTGCAATTTAGCCCTGTGCCTTTCTCCTGCTTCATGCTGTTGCTGATTCGACTATGGCTGAGGTTGACTCTCCCTGGAGTTTAAAGGTGCAGAGTCTGTAATCATGGGCATCTGTTACAACTGTCTACACACACTGTCACCCAGTGACTTTCCACTTATTGTTGATTTCTACATAAATTACATTTTTCTTTGAGGTTTATTAGGTGGGAGTCAGTTCCTACAGGGGGTAGGGGAAGACTGGGGAAGCCATAAGGAAGTCACACATGGAAGACCTTTCAAAGGGGGAACCCCTCTCTCCAACTTCCAGTAATGTGTTGTAATATTATTAGAAAAAATAGCTTTATTGCTCAGCGACTTAACTGCTTTCATCTGTAGCTGGTGGTTCTGGTGCAGAAATATTTCCTAGCATATCCCCTTTCACATACATGTGTCTGGTCCCTGAAGAGGTGGGGGGTGAAGGGATCATGGCTCCGTATAGAGAGTTCCTAGATGTGGGTCAGATTTTAATTAGGATGTTAATTGGTAATTTGCAGTGGAAAAGTATGACCAAGAATCTCTTTATTGTACAAGATACAGAAATGTATAAAGGAAGAATGTTTTTGAGTAGCTCCTCATCGTTGGTTCATTTTTTCTCATGAAGAAGTATACTTAATCTTCATAGATGACCTTTCTACTTTCAGGTGCAGATGGCCCCCAATTTCATATCTTTCAATTCATCATTTTTGACCTTCTCAATCAAGCAATTAAAAATGTATGTGCCCAGGATGGTGTTGGATGCTATAGGTGATACTGGAAGGTAGAAAGTCAGCATTTAGCCTAGGGTGCAATTAATGTAAATGCTAAATAGGTGTGGCACGGTCTCCTGAAAAGAAGAGATCAGAGGGCTCTCAAGGAGTTTGAGAAAGCTTCCTGGAGGGGGAGAAGGGATGTGTCCTTGCTGCAGGGTGAGAATGGCCTTTCAAATCCCCATCACCTGGGGATGCAGGAACAGTGGGTGGCATTAGGGATAGAGAGATGAAAGAGTAAAGGTACAAATAACTGAGGCCTCGAGGCTGATGCCCCAGAACCACCCCAGGTATCCCCAAAGACTAAAGCATGTTTACTTGCTGGGAAGCCTTCAGGATGGAAGAATATTAGTGGCAAGACAAAGCTTCCTCTGACGGACTCCCGGAAATTCACAAGACATGAGAGAAGATTTCTTGAGTGACTATGATAGGCAGAATCTATTTGTTGAATACATTTGCTAAATATATTAAAAATATCTGGGAAACTTAGGGTTAGAATTAGGGCTAGGGGTGTGAATAGTTTTATCAAAGTATAAGTGATTCTTCTCTATTATTGGGAACAGGGGTTAGAGATGAGGAAATCACAGGATCTCTGGGAAAGGGAACTGGAGGGGAGGTATCGGGAGAGGACTTTGATTGGGACCTTCATTATTAGACACAAAGGCTCTTGAGTCTCGCCCAGATGTTGGATGCACCTTAGCAGGACCTGTGGGTTTGGGTCGCACTAAGTTAACTCATAAGAATCTAACACATCCCATTTTCAGATTATTAAGTTATATCTGAAAGATGAAAGTGCCTAGCAGACCCATTTACTTTTTCTCAGCCAGGTTTAGGCATTTTCCTCACGGCAGGGGTAACCAGTTAAAGGCTGGAGGGCTACTTGCTGAGAAAAGAGAACAAAAGAGTTGACTGATTCAGTGCCAGTGTCGCAAAGCCATGGAAGCCTATGATATGCCCTTCACCTGTTCATGAACAAGGACTTCTTTGCTGGCGGGCTGGCCGGCCAGCCTCCCCCTTGCACATGATTGCACGTGGTAGAGACGCCTCGCCGGATGAAACGCTCTTCTTTAAGTCTCCTTTCCTAGACTCCCAGATATCACCACCAGCCTTTACTTATATTTGTCAGCCACATGTCAGATGTTTATGGTTTTGATTTATTTAGTTATGATCATCTCGCCCAAATTGGAGGTCATTTCTCTTTGGAGAAAGTCTAGTACTTTTGAGTACTATTTTGGCAACTACACCAATTTTAGCTTCAGTAGAGGTGTGTGAACTTGGAGTCACTCTTATCAGAGATAATCAAATATTGGCTTCGGCCTCAACTTGGATCAACATCTGGCTGAAGGTCCAACTGCAATAATAATAGGTTCCTCAAGCACCAATTTGTGTGAGTCCACGAACCTGAGGACTTTGAGCTGAGGAAGAGAGAAGCATCATCTAGAGGTAAGAGATGGAGGGGAGTGGTGTGGGGGGGGGGATGGGATAGGATGGTATTTGGCAACTGCCCAGCCCTAACAACCCCTTACCCCAGGAGCACAATTACCTAGCCTGGGATTTTGGGGAGAGGGGCTAAAAGCATGAGCTGGTAAGGCTAATTTTTTGTGGGGTTTTTTTGGAGGAGGATCAAAGGGAATATAGTGTCTTTAGCAGTTTGAAGGTTTGGAATTTTGGGGGTGTGTAGGAGATGGCACCTGAGGCACGGAAGGGTACGGTTCTCTGAGCAGCATGCCTGAGCAACTGGTGCTGGGGCATGCCCTCCTCCTGCCATGGATGAAATAGTCCTTGGCCAGGGATACATGTGGGGTGCATTTGTGATCAGAAAAAAATGGCTTTTAATATACATATTATCCAATACAGAAGAAGGTATTTATAAATAGTTCATTAATGTTTGGGGAAAATAGCATGAAGTTTTTAGCCACCAGATAAATAGAACACTTTCCATTATTGTCAATTTACAGTGTTTTCACACACGTCATTTACCCTGTCTTATATAGGTGTTGACATTGCTTAATAAAGGTGAATATGTCAAAATATATAAAGTAGTGGTTCTCAAACTTGTTCTCTGGAACTGTGGATTCCTCAGGAGTGCTCAAAGGTGGGTGTGGATTGGGAGAAGAGACGAGGGAAAAGTAAAGCAAATCGTCTTTTACCTTGTTGCTCCTTCAACTCATCTGTTGAATTTTTATCTGTTTTCTATGTTGAGCTTCTGATGTGATATCGTTATGAAAAAGGGTGTATCTGTTTTCAAAAGTAAGAGCGCCATTATTATGTGAGCTTTCAAAGGTTAAATTTTATCCCGAATTATAGGGCTGCCCTGTATTTGGAAAGTAAATCTCCCTGTGAATATCGTACTCGCGTCAGGACATTGGCTGTGTAATTGTTTGTGGGGATCAGATTCTCTCTCCCAGGCCTGGTTATCATTAATAATAGAAATGTACCTTTGGCTTTCCTAAAGCCACCTTGACTTACGATTTATCTCTCTGACAGTTGTGGCTCCCAATCTGGAGATGAGCACATCCACATTTCCCATTTTTGAGCCTCCAGACTTTGCTAAGGATGAATGTAGGGCAGGGTTCTGGGCAGAGGGGAGATGAACCGACAGGAGGGTTGCTAATGGAAGAGAGTGGAGAATCCAGCTTGGAGCAGAATCCAGCTTGGAGCAAAGAATTGCAGGCTTGGGGGTGGCTAGGGGTCCTGAGATAGAGGCATCCAGGATGCTAAGAAGTGAGATTTGGAAACAAAGGCAATTGTGTTTAAACCATACATATATTTAAAGAAAAGCCTCATCTATATAATACAATTCCTCACGTTAAAGAATGCCGAGGCAGCACGGTTTTGTACAGCAAGCACAGCAAGAGACCGTGGGTTGCGGTTCTGGTGCTGCCTCTGTTCTTGGCTTTGTGACCTTTGAGTCTGCTTCCTTATATATAAAATGAAAGTGTTAAAGTAAGCGCTCAGCAAGCTTCCTTCTCTGCTGAACAACCTGTGCTTTAGGGCAAGTGTTTTCATGAATATCTATGGATGTGCCTCTCCGTGCACATTTCTCATATTTCACATTTCTCATATAAACACAAATTAGATATTTCTTTTTCAATCTATGTGGTACCACCATCTGTTCAGGATGTTTTTCAATTGAAAGTTCCATTTTTTTGAGCTTTAACAAGATTTGGGTGGAATCTTTCATTATGAAATATGAAACATGTATTTGGAACATCTTTCATGTTGAAAAAGCACCGGGTTAATGCATTTTTCCCGTGTTTCATTTTGACACTAAGCTATGTTAGATATAAAATAAAATGGCATTACAATAAAATTAAATGGCTTTAAAATTTGCATTATCAGTCATCTATTATTTAAATACTGTATTTCATTTACAAATTTTAAATTTGCCAGAAATATTTTGGTAAACTAGTATAGCTCACACATGAATACACACACACACATTTTACTTTTCCTTTTGTAAATATAAAAGAAGTTTGAAGGATATATACCAAACTTTGGCCACCTCTGGGGAATGGACTATTAGAAGGGCCAGTAAACTTGGAATTTTCTATTTTAGGTGCTTTTGTATTGTTTGTTACAGTGAACACATTAATTTTTATAATTTCATTCATGTGATTTGTTATGGAATGAGCCTTTATGATAAAGTATTTTATTGGATTTATAGATACAATCACCATTTGACATAAGTAATTTAAGACCTAAAGTAAACTAGTATCATTTTGTTAGACCATGTAGAGAAATGAATACCTCTTCTTTGATGGATTTAGGAGTTGATGGTGTTCTTTTGGGTGTGTACTTGGACAGGGTTCATGTGTTAGATAATGTAAGCGAAGACTTTTCTCCAACCCTTACAAGGCTTGAGCCCAGAGATGAAAAATAAATTTCGTCATACTTGATTGTGGCTAGAGTGATGTGTTGAGAAAGATTCTGAGATCATATCTAAGTTCCAATAACTGGCCTGACATGGATAGTAGAGGATGAAGAAAATGGCTAATCATTTGCCATTTTTGGCCGTCCCTGAAGTCAGGACTTTTAGGTGATAAGTTTCTTTACGAAGGTAAACATTTCTTTCTGTCCAAATCTCTTAAGGACTCTAGTATATAGATTATACTTAATCAGATAATACTTTATGTAGTTAGTGGACAGTTTCATGATAAATCATGTTAAGACTGCAAGGACTGGCATCTTTTGTATTCCTCATAGAAGCTGGCATGATACTGTACTTAAAAGAACTCAAGAATTAATGACTAATGAAATAAATGACTGATTTGTTTGGGCAATGTGAGGTTATCGATAATAAGGATAATCCAATCTGATTGAGCATCAATTAAAATAAATAATTTCATCCTCCTTTATAGAAATATTTACCAGATTGATGTTAAGTTGAAAAAGTGAGTACTGTGACTTATAATTTCTTTCTGTGACCCTCTTCAATCATCTCAATTTTTGACACCAAGAGAGAGTTAAATGGCTTACATGCATGAAGGTGGGTAGCTCAATTTTTACATTTGTGGTTTAAAAGGGCACCAATGTTACACATATACTGGATGTAGAGAGAGGGTTACGCATACTGTTTACATTCATAAGGAGTAGCTGGTGGAGAAGGAAAAATACAGAAAGAAAGCCCTGTCCCCCCCAACCCACCCCCACCTTTTTTTCTTGGAAAAAAAAGAAGAAAGCACTTAATCAATCACAGAGTAATGTGAAGCTGCCAGCATACTGTCTCTCCAATTATTTCAGACTGAGTTTAGAAACAAAATCCCGTATTTGGATGACATCCTGCTTACAACCATATGAACAAGATACTTACTCATCCATCCATTCATTTAACAATATTTTTGAGCACCTACTACCTGGCCAAGCACTGTTCTAGACTCTGGGAATAGAGTCGTGGGCACAAGACTGCGTCCCTGCTCCATGTTATTCATTACAGCTGAGAAAATTAAAGCTCTCCAAAGTGTCTGGCCCAACGTGGTAGAATTGGGACTCGATCCTCAGTTCAGTGTTCTAACCTCTACACCACACCATCTCACGTAATTTTGGAGGACCCTGGTTGATGATCAGCAGGACGGTTCTGTCTGCCTTTTCTTTACTCTCCCCTTGTTTGTGGTCCACTCTTTTCCATCCTATGCAGAATTGTATGGTTGCAGAGGGATACGCTGTCTGTGAGAGTGTCCTAGGGCAAATCATATTCAGTTTCTGAATAGTAACCTAAGATCATGCTATTAAAAATGATATGTGAGTAAAATAAATTGGAACAGTATTTTTCCAAAATCTTGAGTTTTAATTTGGTAGAAAGGAGCCAGCATTTAAAAAAAAAAAAGAATTTAAAAAATCTTAGAGTGCATCAAAGCTAGTAAGGTAAATATTATGTAACACTTTTATTCCATGATTATATGTTTATATTAGGTTGCAACATGAAATTTTTTCTTTACTATTGGTCGTGGTCAAAAACATTTGAAACACATTTGTTTAAAGGACATCAGGTAAGATAGTGTTTGTGACAAAAATAGAGGTGTATGATTATCCTTAGCTATCATTTGAGTGTGTGTGTTGTTTACCTAAAGCATTCGTAGCAATAAAGTAGAATTTGTGTCATGAATACTGGTAGAAGTTATCTGGCGTCTGAATATACGCCTGAACAGATTTTCTTTTCTTTAAACACACACACATTGCAGTTACTGGTTTCCCTGTGTCCTATACTTTTATTGCGGTTTCCTGTATTGAGTGGTTTCGTTATTTTTTGAAACATATTTATTTTGTAATTTAATTGCATGGCATATAGAGAAACTTGGGGAAATAAAGTAACTAATTGAGGCAATGTCCTATACATTATCTGATTATGATAAAGTCTACAGCTGATTATAATAGTTATTAAATATTACATACTAACTTATTTTAAAACTGATTTAATATTTTATTTTTCTCAATTTCTAAATGTTAGTGGATTTTGCCTGAAGATATTTATATTAAAAAAAAGAGTAACAGAAACAGTTCCCTAAATTGGGGTTTTTCATAAATTATAGGAAAAATCACTAATTTGGAATTTGTGATAATTTGGGCAGGGATTGGACTGATACTTCAGAAAGATAAGAGCTTGATGCTTAAAAAAAAACTGTAAATAGATTTTTAGAGTTTTAAATATGTGCCTAAATACATCTTTGGAAGCACATAAGGAAAAAAATCTACTTTTCTATGTTGTAATTTATTTCAGAGACATGTGTAGAGTGTCAGTTATTGAGATGACCAGGACAGAGATGTATTTAAATATTATGTGCTTATTCTTTGTAAGGCATGAACTTATTCCCTAGAGTAAGCCTATAATCTAATTATGGAGACAGAAACATAGAAGAAATGCTAACCTTAAAAGGGTGTAGAGATGTTTTTCTCTCCTCAGGCAGAGGACAGGAGAACAACATACTAAAGAAAATTTCCTTGAG